AATATGATCTTCTTTCAGTTTAGTACTTTTAACAATCAGTTCATCCAACAGCAAACAATGCAAGATACATGTTTCAAATCGGCCTTAGAAGTGCTGAAATGAATATGCTACAGTACTATAAAAGACAGATTACACAGTTTTACTGTAACATTAGGCAATACACTTACAGTACCCAACATTTACGTAATCTATAATTTCCAAATATCCATCATATATGTAGGCCTAATCAAATGAAGGATCAATGAAGACATCCTTTACAATCATTTAGGCAAATTATAGTTTTTATTTTTCAGATATAATTGTAATATAGGTATACTAAGAGCTTTATGAAAGGCAGTTACTGTGAATGAAACAATAATGTAGATGAAACACTTATTTTGTGTTGTGAAAAGGATACTTTGTGATTGTGTGAATTGTACTAACACAGTTGAAAACATGATGAAATGTTTGAAAAAAGTGCACTTTTGATGATCTGTTGTGATATTAGCACTAAGAGTTTTGAAAATGTACACCTTACTTGTGAAAATAGTACCAAAGCGAATAAAAAAAACTGTAACATGAGTTTATGATAAGTTTAAGATATGCCATCACAAGGTGTTGTCTACTGTAGTTGCCCGTTGATGTGTTTTCCCCATTTACAGTTTTTTACAATCACTTTGCTACTATTTTCAGAACCTTGATGTCATTTTTCAAAACTCTAGACACAAAACTCAAAACAGTTATCACTTGTAACACAGGCTGTCTAATGTTCAAAACATTGCATTGTGCATTCACATCTTTAAAGAAATCTTGCACTTGCAGAATCATTGCTTCAAAAAACAAATTTACTGTGAAATACCATTGAAACATAACTATACAGATTGTATGTCTGTTTCCACACAACTACAGATGTGGCAATCCCAAAAGAGTGAGAGAGCGAAATTGATCTGAACCAGATAAGGCGTGAGTTGCTGTTTTAGGTTACATTTTAGCAATTCCATAAGCCGCTCACTCTTGTGTCACAGCGCAAGCAATGACTCATGGGTACGCGCTGGAATCCCAAAAGGGCGTCCAACGATGAGCCTTAGCGCTCACTGTGACGACACCTGTGCTGGTTTGTGTTGATTTGAAAATCCTTACATGCTCACCCCAAAGGAGCGGTCGGCCCGTGTTAGTGAAATATCGTAAAAACTTAAGGGAGGTTTTTTTTTGTCGAAATTTGCGTCCTCCACCTCAGACGGGCGTCGACCATGGGAAAAGGCAGGGGGAGGCCCAGGTCAGAGTGTGACCGGCTGCGTACCAATCGCTGCATAAGTTGTAAAAAAAGGTAAAAAGTGTGTAAAAAAGCATATGGGGCGAGTCAGTGGGGTGACACTTGGGGGTCAGAACCGGGGTATCGGTGGCCGTCATGTACCCATCAGTACCAGTGTCCTCAGAAAACTCTCTCTCAGACACACACATCACACACTGAGCTTTAGATAAGCTTAAATGGCAGAAAGTCTCTTACGTACTCTGGGCTTTTGTGTCTGTTTTGCTTGTTGACAGTTCTGGAGAGATGTTGGTCTCATTGATTGACAGCTGTCATCTCTAAGCAGATAAAAGGCCTCAGAACAGCTTCACATGGTATCGCATCATTTCCTGCAATACAGCCGACTCATTAGCTCGTTAGAGGGCATGCGTGCTTAAAATCTTTCAAAAGTCCTCTTATGGCCGGGGGTTGTGAGAATAGATCTTCAATGCACTTGCATCCACCACTTAAATGTCAATCTTGTGGCGTATTTGACACTGTTGGATATACAACAGTCCATGAGTTGTACTGTAGGTTTTATGGTGCTTTTTGTCGTTATTTTTGAATTATTGTGAGTTAATGTATTGATCTGTTTTTATATTGTTGTATTGTGGTTACTCTTTTGAAAAAGAAGTGCTTGGCTGTTCCTCAATATGTGTTCTCAAGTGACCTTGTGTCCTTTGTGTGACAAAAAAGTGATCAGATTTCCTCTAGTCAGTGAATGTATTTAGAAGAGACCAGATTTAATGGTGTGTGTGTGTAAGTGTGTAAGTGTCTCTTTAGCATGCGTTAGAGGGGAGTGCTTGCCCTTTAACCTCTGATTGTCTGCGGCGTGCGGCGCATTAGAGAGAAAGGTATAATGAGTGATGGACAGCGTGTGTATGTGTGTTGGATTGCATTGCAAGTGATTTCAGCTCAGGTTACCACATTTAACTTTACATACAGCCCATGAAGGGTCACTAGAAGCCCTTTTCTCGTGATACCCTTCAAATGTACAGTTGTTTTACTGTAGTATCTTGTATAATTTTTGTGGAATTAGCATTTTGCTGGAATTATAAATATTTGTTTAATTTTTGTTGAAGTATGATTGTGTGAATTGAATTTTTATTGAAGTATGATTGAATGTGCTTAGACTACTGTTAAAGGACCCATAATTTCGTACACCTCAGTTTAAGTATGTTACAAGGACAGTGCAGAGTCTTTTCATTTGTCTCTATTTTTACATTTCACGAAACTTTCTTTCACGTCTCCTCATGTCTGGGGAGACAAGGGTCTCAAAAACATGCTTAACATTGAAGGTCCAAGTTAATACTTTGATGAAATTTCTATAATGAGAACTGATTGTAAACAAAATGTTGCATTAATTATGTAGTTTTTTTTTTTTTATTCATCGCCGGCTTGACTTTTGGAAAACCGCAAAAAATAAGATCTGTGTTCAACAAAGAGTTGTGACCCCTACACGTTTTGTCTATCAAGATAATCTTTACAAGTTAATCCAAAATGTATAAATTTTGAAGCCTATAATGAAGCTTAAAAAACAGGTTATGCAGGTTACAACTGTGTTTTATGTCATAGATCAAAACGTGAAAATATTTAGAGGCTTTGTTCACCACAGATCTTATTTCAGGCGACTTTGCAAAAACCCATTCAAAAATCCCATAGGCTTTAGTTTAGAGCGAGGGAACCGGGAGTGCTAAATGCTAACTCACTTCCGCGTTTTGGCCTACAGAGTGACGTCGTAACTTCGGCACTCTTTTCAGAGCCAAATCTCTTGTAAAATGAAACTAACCATTGTGCACTCTAAAAAATGCTGGGTTGTTTTAACCCAATTTTGGGTAAAATATGGACAAACCCATCCATTGGGTTACATTTTTAAATTATATTTTTAACCCAATTGGCTGGGTTTGTCCATATTTTACCCAAAATTGGGTTAAAACAACCCAGCATTTTTTAGAGTGTGTGAGTGACATGCTGTTTAAAGCAACAGGCTATATCTTTGAAGATTGTTTAATTAAATCCAGTGTGTAGCACACGTTAAACCATGTGTATTGTGCAATGTTCAAAATAGTCCTATTTTTAAAAAAAAATCATATATCAAAACAAGCCCAAAATAGCCATTACGGCTTAGCCCCTAATCTCTGCCTGCAGCTATATTTATTATTATTGTTACTTCACATACATCATTATTTACACTTTCAATGATCCAAAACATACAAACAATGAGGTAAATCTCAACAGACCATGAGGGCTGAACACACTGGATTGTTCTAAGCAGCTTCTGGCGATGTTTAACAGGAGATGTGTGATTGTGTCGAGACTCAGCGTGAGGATGAGCAGTTAAGGAGAGTGTTTGTCCGTGAGAACTATAATGATGAAATAAAGTTGCTGTGACGGAGACACTTTGAATGATGTCATTACTGGAGTGTGTGTGTGTTTGCGGAGGGCAGTGCTCCTGCTGACTTCCAGAATGCGCTGCAATGCAAAACTGGGGTGTGTTTTCCAAAGCCAACTATGGTGCTGTCGTTACCAATAGAGTTCAATGGAACTTGTGGTCATAGTTGGCTAACGATGCTTTTGGGAAACACACCCCTGGTGTGTGTGTGTGCTGGCAGATGAACTGAGATAAATGAGCAAGGGGGAGAGTAAGAAGGATAGAGAAAAGTGATGTGAGCCCCCTGGCTTTCTTATTTTCTCTCACTCTGTAACTACCAGCTGTGCCTCTTCACACGATCACGGGGATCAGATCGCACATACACAGACTAATGAAAGCTTATCAAGGCCCATGTTCTTACACTCCCATCCAAACGCTAAAATGATGGGTTCAAATGAATAATCCAAGACAAAACCAGAATAATGCAGGTGTTCTGCGGATTTATTTCAATTCATGGGTTGTGTGAACAGTCATACAATTTGGCTCTTTTGTCAAAGCCAGAAAATCTTTTGGATCAGTCAGAGATGTGTTTTGCACAAACAAATCAAACTAGATTAGCAGTGCTAGAAAGACAAGCCCCGGGCATTTAATTGCTGGAATAAACATGTATGAAAGATTAGATATTCAAACACATGGCTGTTTAGTGTTTATAAACTAAAAAAGTCTTGTTTTACATCTACTGTTCTTCTTCATGCTGGATGTTAGTGGCCAGCGGTGTGTAATCAGGCGTGTATGGGGAGCTCATTATATATAACGTGTGTTAAGCCAAGTGTCGGATGGATTAACAGACGCTCTGATGTTGTTTGAGGATGTTTATTAACATTTTTTTTTTTTTTTACCAGAATGTAAAACATCTGAATGTATATATAGGCACCAAATACCCATCGAAAAGCAGCTAAACTCAGTTTTTGGTCCGTGTGATTTTCTAAACAACAGATGTTGGAAATGTTGCATTATGTCATTTGAATATAATGTTTGGCACGCTCAGTTACCGCTGGAGGTCCTGTGTGAGGTCAAACGTCACGTCCCAGAGTTCACTTCCGAGCAACTACACTTCCATCAAAATACACACACAGGATTGTTATATAATCCAAATTGAAAACACACCGTAATGCTCCATTGCTTAGTCAAAGGTTTCAAGCCATTTTCAGTAGAGCAATTAAAGCTAATTTAGCCAAATATATTAAGAAGTCAATTTTTTTCCTCAACCTCATGTCTTCCAAACCCGCATTACTTTCTTTCCACTGTAAAACCCAACAACATTGGACCCTCTTGGCGTTTCACTATATGGGGAGGAAAGGCTGGGGGGTTACACAGTAGACAAAATATCTGTAACACTTTACTTTACAGAGTGTCCTTGTTACATGTAGTTACTGTAGTAATATTTATAATTATATGCAACTAGCCCTAAACCAAACCAGGTAACACTTTATTTTACAGTCCTGTTCCCCTTGTATGTACTCATTATAGTAATTATAATAACTTGGTAATATCGATACTAACCCTGTACTTTATAACTACACACATTCTGTAAAATAAAGTGTAACCCCAAATCTAACCCTTATAAGTACATTTAGTGAATTATTATTATAGTCCTTAAATTCATAATGACACTGTAACACAGACGCTTTAAAAGAAAGTGAGACAAAAAAAATCATACAGATTTGGAACAACACGAGTGAGTAAATTATAATAAAATGTTTTTGGGATGAAAATCCATTACATTTTTTTTTCCATGAGCTGAAAAACTTGTCCAGCAACCAGTATTAGATCAAAATAAACGTTTCCATATCTCCATGAAACCAATTGATCTAACAGCAGAAATTGTGTCACACTAGGGCTCATGAATGCAGTTTTATAGGGGGAAAAGAGAGCAGAGAACTGTACAGATAATGCTAATAATCATCAAGATGGAATCCGGATCACCATCCCGTGCATGCTTTTGCTGTTCACAATCTTTAATGTTGCGTTTAATTGGGTATAATATCCAAACACAAGACATCATTAAACAGAAAGGTACGTATTCAGACAACAGATTCTCACACGAGATGATCCTGATCTTCCCATACGGACAGGAATGACAGAGAGGAGATGCTTGAATAGTCCGTCTGAAACCAAGCGCGTAACCGCTCAGTCTGGGTACAGAATGAAGCCAGAGAATGTACTGTATTTGTTGTTGTTTCCTCCGTGAGCCTTTCCGCCGTCGAGTTTGACATAAATCTCGTCGCCAGAGTCCAGGTGTAGCACGGCACTGTTGCTCGCGTAGTCGTAGTTCTGATCGGCGTCTTGCGCGATGGCGCTCGCGCGAACCTGTTCAAATAAACGCACAGTGTCATTCAGTGCCATTGAATTCGCAGCGCTTATGATAGCCTTTTAGTAGTCTTAAAATGAACAGATCTTCACTAATAAAAACCTTTCATTTCGTTATAATATTTGTGAGCACAGAAAAATCATTCGCCTGCTATATTGAGAAAGAATAAGTGCAGAGGTTATAATAATAAACTCATAATAATAATAAATGAACTAATAAAAATAGTTGCATTTTTATCACCACTAAATTAGCCTTATCTGTTTTCCACAAAACATTGTGTCTCTCCTGTTTACCGAGCATCCGTATAAAACTAATTTGAAACTCGCTCAGTGTGCGAATAATTGTTTGACTTGTGGCGTCAATAAAGTGATAAATAAAGACAAAAATGTTTTGTTTTACTGTTTTGTTTGTTATACCGCCCGGAAGATGTTGCTAAAGCGATTTATTTTCACGAGTTTGAACACAACTTTTATGTTTACCGAAAACAATGTGAAAAAAAAAATTAAGGCCCTCCCTGTTTATTTTTCTTGTCCCCATTTTTCATGGGTGATTCAAGTTTCGTTAAACATTAATTCGCATATTTAGTGTTTTGCTCCTGCAAACGTTGTAGAAATACCTGTCCATTTTTACAGAGGTCTGCCCACATGCTTGTCCCGTCCCCTCCACGCATCAGCACATGGTAGGTGAAGTAGTAAATCCCTGACACCTGACACGTAAACTTGCCAGTCGTGGGATCATAGTGATTTCCGACATTTGTTACTACATCATCAAACCGGAGCACCTCGTAGCCTTCGTGAGGGTTCTTGAGACCCACGTAAAACGCGATCTTGGTGTACCCTAACGCTGGACCAACGTCTCCTGTCTCAGTCCTCGCCGTCCCCGATGTGATGCCGGTAAATCCAGGTCTGCCTGAGTCCCCAGGTGGTCCCCTCGGACCAGGTGGACCGGGTTCTCCAGGTGGACCCCTGGGTCCCGGTTTGCCCGGGCGGCCCGGTTCCCCTCTAGTCCCTTGAGCGAAAGATGGTGGGATGGCACTGAGGTCCTGCATCACCTCCAGCGCCGTGGCGCTCGGTTTGGGGTTGTACGGATCGCAGATCATCCGGCAGGTGCCTATCATTTCGTAGTGCGCTGAAACCACGGAGGTTTGGACCAGAAGCGGAATTGCGATGACCAGCGCCACGATCATGACGATGCCCACGACCGCGCCAATTATTCTCTTGCTGTGGAGCACCCGGGAAGCGCGCACTAAAAAGTCCGGCTCGTTTTTGGAGGAAATGGTGACACGCACGCTTGAAAGTATGACAAGGGGGAAAAAGCTATCTTTCCTTCAAATGTATATAAAATGCACACACTCCCCTCCGTCCCACCTTCTTGTGACCTCTGGCAGAATAGCACCGTCTGTGCCAGAGATGACAGAGAAACTATTGGCTCTGGTACGCGCGCTGGAGCGCGAGACGGAGCGGTGGTTGCGCGCAGAGAGAAGACGCGCTGACTGACGTAGCAACGCTGTTGCAGTTTGGATGATAATAAACGATGCTGTGATGATAATCTCTCATCTAAAGCTATGCATGCATATAGAGATGATCCCAGTGAAACAATTGCGTTCAACAGAAATTGGTTTTCAGCCCCCTTAATTCTCAGATATCTGGTAGTTTAATTGTGATAATTGACATGGTTTAGTTTTCAGATCTGAGCAAATTTGCGTATAATGCTTCATATTTATCGCATGGTGATGGTGTCCATGCAAAATTAGCCTTTTAATTAGCACAAGCCAACATGTTAGGAGAATGCACCATAAAAGCATACAGAAAATGTACCATATTTTCATGTAAAAACACTAAAAAAAAAATGGAAACCATAACATCCATGTTAACAGGATTTATAGTCAAACATATAATCAAATCAACCTAAATACATGAATATATACCAAATGTAAATCAGGAAATAGATATTTAAGGTAACAACCGCAGGTAGCTACTATGATATATGAATATGTTCAGTGCCAGTGTACATTTAGCAACTTTGTATGTGTCCTTAGAAAATGCATGATGATGCAACTTTTTTTTTTTGCATTATTTGTTTTTTTTTTTCCATTTTTTTTTATTTCTGTTCTTGATGCATTGGCCTGTCAGTCAAAAAATAAAATAAAATACAGAGCTAGGCCTATTTTCTATTGAAGAAAATTAAATGGCAGCGCTATTTACTTTTTTACTAAATATAAGTCTGGACTTGAACTTGATATTTAACATTCCCTATATGTAATTATAAATATTAAATATAACAGATGGAAAAGAAAAATATATATATTGGAAGATATTCACAATAATAGTATAAAATTAAAAGTGGCAAAATAAATATGAAAGCAGTTATTTCACAGTGGCAACAACTGACATGCCTGAAATTTCAGAAACCATTATGTGAAATATATAAAGCAAAAAAACAAAAACAAAAACACACACACACACAGTTTCTATGCATTTCAGGGTTTAGCTTAGAGAATGCTATTTATGCAAATGTAGTCTGTCTACTCTACATGTCACGGGGTGTGGTGGTGGAGTGCAGGCAGAAGGAACAGGAGGAGTCCAGGTGAACATGAAGACACAGACTTATTTCCAAAATACAGGCAGGAAGACAGGGGAACACCAGATAACATTCAATATAAGAACAACATCGACCGACCAGGACAGACTGAAGGAGATGGAACTAAATACACAGAGGAATCAAACTAAACGAGGTGCAAACAGGTGAAAATGATGATGACAGGACGAGGAACAGGTGGCTGATTGGGGAGTGAGTCCGGGAGTAGAAACAAAAGGATCCGGGGAAGTGTAGTGCAGATGACGAGACAGACTGGTGCAGACGGAGGACTGTGACACTACATATATAATAAGTTTGTCTTTGCATCTGTTACGAAGCAGCAGGAAAGGAGGAAGCAGGATCCAAAAGCAAGTACAATTTAATTTAACAAAACAAATTGTACTTAAGTAAAAGTATTGCTACTTAAGTAAAAATTTACTTGAGTACAAGTAGAAGTACTGAAATATAATATGACTCAAGTAAGAGTAAATAAGTAGTTTGCTTAAAAACTACTAAAGTAATTGCGTTACAAAGTACTTTAGTATTTTTCTGTTTTTACCCAAAATGGTAAATGGACTATATGGACTCTCATGTCATCTGTTTCATTCATACTGAACTGAAGGCCCAGTACTGATGCATAGAAGTATTAAACTTACACATTTCAGGAAATGCCTTATGTGGATATAATAACTTGCAAATAGTGATGTTTTGACTGATAAAACATGAAGACAAACACATAATAGCTATAATATATCTGAGTTTATCAAACTTTCAGCTATTTTCAAAAGAATGATGTATGACTTTAAAGGGATAGTTCACCCGAAAATTAAAATTAGCCCACGATTTACTCTCCCTCAAGTCATCTTAGAAGATATGACTTTCTGCTTTCAGTCGAATACAATCATAGTTATATTAAAAATGGCCTGGCTCTTCCAAACTTTATGAAGAAAATTTGAAGCCCCCAAAAAGTGCATCCATCAATGATAAAAGTGCTCCACATATAGACTACTAGCTTCCTCTGTTGTCAAGAGCAATTTTTTATTACTAATTTTGAAAAGTAAGTGTAGGTATGATCATTTGAATGTTTTGATTTGAATCATTCATAATTGAAAGCAAAGAAGGTTAATTGAGAGGTCCGATAAAAAGGCTATGAAAAACAATAAAACAGTATGAAAAAAAATATTCCCTGTAAAAAAAATAAATAAATAAAAATAAAAATAAGTGGGGTATGGTTAACATGTTAAATTAAATTATCTTTTTTCATTGTAGCCAACCGAAAATGTGCTGGTAGCCCACCACTGTTGCTATAGGAACGAACTACACTTTTACATGCATCTGATTGAAAGATTAACCATGCCATGCGATCTTATTTCACTGTTTTTTCAGCTTTGTACAAAGTTTGCTTCGTATATCTAGTTTAAATGTATTGTAAAACAGGGAGAGCTTTACCATTAATTGAACTGTGTGCATGTATTTTAGACACTTACATTCTTGCTCCGTCCATTGCAAACCGAGTTCATGTTATGAGCCGAGCTTTTTTATTTACTTCAACTGCTCAGTGCTCTGGTATTATCAATGGTGTGACCCATTTCAGTAGTTGCCATAATTAAATACGAGCAGAATACTCACTTACATTCACTGAAAAATGTAAACGTTAGAGCTACTGATACACGAGCGCCAGTGATTGAATGTCAAAGCGTGGTTTGAACGCCCCGCCCCCCAGCTGAACTGGAGGTTTTGATTGGTTTTGCAATGAGTCAGACCTGTCTGTTATTGGCTGAAGTGCTTCAGATATGTCTGTTATTGGCTGAAGCGCAGGGCTCCACCTCAGTGGTTTTGAAAAGTGTTTGTCAAATGTCAGCTTGCGCTGTTGCTCCGTCGGCACCATAGACTGTAAAAAATAGGTCGGCACCTTTGTCAAAGTACTTTGTACTTTTTATGAAATATAAATGTAGAGAAGTTGAATACTTTATTTTTATTTTACTCAAGTAAGAGTAAAAGAACCACAATTTAATTATACTCAAAAAAGTAGAAAAAAAAGTAGCGGCCATCTTGTCCTTAGACTCTGGCTCGGAGGCGGCCATCTTGTCCTTAGACACTGGCTCGGAGGCGGCCATCTTGTCCTTAGACACTGGCTCGGAGGCGGCCATCTTGTCCTTAGACACTGGCTCGGAGGCGGCCATCTTGTCCTTAGACTCTGGCTCGGACGTGGCGAGGCTCCGGAAGCTCTGGCTGCACGTGGCGAAGCTCTGGCTTGGCGGGTACTGTGGGGTTGCAGGACTCCTTGTCTGCCAAACCCACAGTAAAGGTTGAGCCGCTCAGTAACAGGGCCAAATCAATATAAAATTCTAAAGTCCATTGAGGATTGTGCAGTGGCATGGTTGACTCGAGTGGCTGAGATAGTCCCCCTCTAAAAAATATCATAAGACACACAGAATCCATTGAAGTGCCATTTGCCAGTTCAATAAAGTCTCTCACGTATTCCTCTATGTGCCGGTCTCCCTGAAGGAGATGCATGATCTGTACTGCTGGATCCATCCTTGGTGAGTTGTTCTGTTACGAAGCAGCAGGAAAGGAGGAAGCAGGATCCAAAAGCAAGTACAATTTAATTTAACAAAACAGGTAATCCAAAACAAAAAGGTAATTCTCAGGAACTCAGGACAGGGACAAGGCTACAAGCCACATAACATTTACAAGACTTCACAGTGAGTGACTGAATGAATATGGTGTTGAGACAGGTGAATGCAATCAGTGAATGAGGTACAGGATGTGATCAGTGATGATGAGTCCAGGCAGTGAGTTCTGGGAAATGTAGTTTGTGAGTGAAAATAGTCTTATCTGGAGTGCCCTCTGGAGTCTCTCTGGGGCACTCCAGCTGGTGATCGTTACAGCACCATCATTTAGTTTAGGCATTACTGACCACAAAAGTGATGAAGAAAAATAATAATGCAGTGATGGTGACTGTTTAGAGATAAAGGGATAATTCAGTGGTAGTGGTACAAGAAAAGATGACCTTGAGCCGGTTGATCAGTGTTTCACAGGTGCATCATCAGAGGAGAGAGGGATGAGGGAGGATTCAGAAGGTACTGAGGTGTTCTGGACGGAGTGTTTTACCTCAGGCTTTATCTAAAACTCGTACAAGGTTTCGGTCTAAAGTACATGTGAGATGTGACATGTAAGAGAGAGTCCTTGGTATTCGATTTGCCGCTCTGATTTCTTTATTTATGTGTAAAAAGTTTATGTGTGTCCATGAATCTGTGTGTCTGTGCATGGCTGTGTTTGTCTCTTTGCCATTGTGTGTGTGTGTTTAAACTTATCTGCTCACTGGGCTGCTGGATGTGAGTCTGACTGCTGTGACTCAGGGTTACGTGTGTGACAGAGACCAAAAACCATGAATAAACTGGCACACACACATTCTCTCTCTCTTCACTCACACACGGCCATGAATATATTACCTCTTACACACATCCACTCATAAATAAACCTGTGTTCTCTCTCTCTCTCTCTCACACACACACACACACACACACTTAATCACACAGACACGCCCAGCCATTTGTTTTCCGTCACCAATCACTCATAGTGTTACAAGAGGCAGTAGCCTGAAATGTGTTTGTGCGTGCTAGGACTTAAACGATGGATAGAAAACAGGAGAGTGGGTAAGATGAGCCAGAGGGTAAATTAGGCCACCGCCTGTACACTCTAAAACTGCATAGCATTTTGTAGAAGAACGTTGTTTTGGTAGTGCTTCGACTCTGTGCTGATGAATATGGTTATCCCACTGCTCATAAAACAGTGATCTCAAACTCAATTCCTGGAGGGCCACAGCTCTGCACAGTTTTGAGCCAACCCTAATCAAGCACACCTGATCCAGATCAATTGAGCTAATCAAGGTCTTCT